GGAGGAAGCGGCGGCAGCGCGTCCCGAGCCGTGCTCGCCATGTCGGGCGGGCCCCCCAAGGCCCTGCCGTCCACGGGGCCCCACTCCCTGCGCGACATGCCGCACCCGCTGGCCGGCTCCAGCAGCGAGGAGGCCGTGGGCGGCGACAGCACGCCCAGCCCGGACCTGCTGATGACCCGCAGCTTTGGCGACAAGGTGGGGCTCATCGGGCTGGGGATAGGGCGACTCGTTTTGCTCCCGAGGGGGTAGGAGGCGGGGGTGACTCCCGAGCCCTCCTGGGCACCCGGCCGCGCCCACCCTGGCGCTCTTTCCCCGGGGGGCGGGCGTGCTGTCTCCCACGAAACCTTCAGAAAAAACGTCTCCCCGCTGTCACCCCCGCGGGGTCGCAGCCACCGGGGGAGCGGCCAGAGGGGACGGGATCACACACCCCTGACCGCTCGCGAGCGCGGGTGACAGCTGGTGGGGAGGGGTCCCGTTTGCGGGCGCGCGCGGGTGGCGGGAGTGCGGGGCTCGGCGCTGCGCCCTGGGATGGGGTCCCGAGTTCCTCCAGGTGAAGCCGGAGGCTGAGCTTCCGAGGCACTTGTAGCTCCTCCACTTTCCTGGGAACGGAAAGAAGCTGGAGTTAATGGTTTTCCGTCGCTGGACGGGCCAGCCTTGGTCTCACTGCCAGAGTCGTCTCTTCCCCCCGGTCTGTCATGTGGGAAGTGATTTTTGTTTAGGTTTGCTGGGTGCCCAAGAGTCACCTGACTCAGACCTCAGTCCGCGGCGGGAGGAGAGTCTCGCTGTGGTTTTCTGTCTGGGGCTCCATCGCCTCGGATGGCCTCCCACACCGTTTAGGTTGACAGAGGCTGGTTTTGTGGCTGCGGGAAAGCGAGCTCGCCCTTTGACCTTCTTTGTGCAGAGGGAGCCTCTCGATCTTAGCGCAGCATAGAGGCAGCGGTGTCCTGCCAAGGGTGAGGGGCGGCATCCTTTCCCCCCACAGCCGTTTCAGTTGTGACCGGGACTTGAGCCCCGATTGTATCAGCGTTGCTGTTACTATGTAGGCACTAATTGCAGAAATCAGTTGTTCAATACTATTGATCAGGATTTCCTCCTCGTAGTAAAATACTGGGTGAATTCATCCTTGTTCTGATACTTAATGGAATCAGGGGATCTTACTTTTTTTCTTTTTTAAAGATTTATTTATTTATGCATACGGAACTGGGGTATGGGCCAGAGGAGGGGGGGTGTGTGTGTGTGCGAGGATTCAACAGATACAGATTGGAGGGCAGAACAGGCAGATGTACTGAAATATACTGCTGAGGGGAGCAGCTGGCAGGTCAGGAGAGTGCCAAGTGGGTCACCTCCCTGGCCATGGATCTAACCTGTGTTGCCTTAACTTCATCTGCTGTGCTTTAACTCCCTGCACCACCAGGGAGGATCCCAGGGGATCTTTCTTTCCTTTAGATGTAAGGGCATGTGGTATGTTAAAAATGAGTATGGGGCCCTCTCTGGTGGAGCAGGGGGTTTAAGCACAGCACTGAGAAGCTAAAGCCACCTCAGCATGAGTTCCATCCCTACCTGACCTGGAGGTGATCCACATGGCTGGCAGCAGACCTCTCCTGACCTGCCTGCTGTTCCACTCAGCAGTGCACTTGATCTCTTCTGCTTCCCACTTTGTCTCTGGTGAAGCCTCCCACTGCCCCTGCACCTCTGGCCTATACCCCAGTTGCATATGCATAAGTAAATCTTTAAAAAATTAGTATAAATGCATTGAGCACACAAAATAAGGATTTGGGACTTCGGATGCCTTTCTGAGATGGTTGGGGGAGCATAGGCATGGGGGGAAGGGTAAAGATTAGGACCAAGAAGACCTAAAAGCTGATGAAACCAGTTAATTTAGCAGCTTGAAATGTGTGGGGGAACTCTCTGTGATCATTTTTCATTTTATAGAAGATAATACGCCTGCATGAAATATCTTGGAATATCTTGCCCATATTTTACTTTATTCACTAAGTACCTACTGAATCACTGAATGAATGCTTTGTTTGTTAGGGACAGAAAAATTGATCCTATGTATATGTAGAAATGTTAAAACTTAAGATTTCTTTCTCACATCTGTGTAGGAGAGTGAATTAATTATCTACGGCTGTGTGACAGATTACTGCAAAATTCAGCACCTGAAAATGGTGTCTATGGGTCAGAAATCAGGGTGATTTCTGACTCAGGTGTTCTGTGAGATTGCCACCGAGCTGTTGAGTGAGGCTGCAGCCATCTGCAGACTGGATTCCTGGAGGACCGACTTTCAACCTCCCTCTGCTGGGCACTGGCCTCAGTTCCTCTCCTTAGGGGTGCTTGACCTGGCAGCTGGTTTTCCCCCAGAGCGAGAGAGGGAGCAATCCAGACTCAAGCCACAGTTTCCGTAATCTAACCTTAGAGTTGACATGCCTGTGCCACGTTCTGTTGGTCACACAGACCCAGTTGGCACATTGTGAGAGAAGGGTCTGAATACCAGGAGGAAGATACTGCTGAGGGCATCTTGAAGGTTGATGGCTGCACATGGTTATTAGCAGCGTGGTAGGTTCTCAGATGATATCCTTTTATCATGACATTGATGAGGAAAAAATTCCCACCCAATGTTGGACAAAAGGATGTTAATGAAGACCTGGTTTCATGAGACATCAGTTTGCTTAAAGTCACAGTCTTCAAGAACCCATGGATGAGTGTGAGTGAGCGTGAGTTAGGGTATTTGCTTACAGCAGTCCTGTTTTGGAGGACTCGTGAATCGGAAGAGGGGGTATTTTACTAATAAGCAATGAGGGATCACATGCCCTAGGCCACAAGAATTTATGGTGGGCAGAAACTTAGGCCCCAATCTAATTACTATTGGTTTCCTTTATAGGGATAGTTCTGTGAGTGGGGCAGTATTGGAGGCATTATTATTAATTTTTCAATATTTAATAAGTCTAACAGCTGTGGGGAACATGAAAATGACATCACTCCCAAGGGCCGGATTAATAGGAAGCCACTTTTCCTTCGAGGATAAGCAATGTAATTTTCTCTGACGGGGTGTAACATTTTCCTTGAATCTTGGCGGACACACATCCTCATGGAACTCTAGAGAACTTTCTGTAGTGAGAAGCTAACAAGCAATAGAGGTGAGTCAGAACCAGTGGAAGGAAGCTTTTCCTGTGCCCTGCTTTCTCTTTCCCAGGGAGAACGGGGGTCGCTGGAAGCCAGGTGGGAAGATTGGATGCTATGACCTGTCATTGGAAAAAAGCCTGTCTTGCCTTTTTGCATAGGTTGGGGTCCGAGATGTCTGATCCAGAGTCAGTTCTGAACTTGAGAATGAGGGCTTGGGTCTGCTGCTGGCACAGGGTTATTGTATTGTGTGGAGGGAATTGCTTCCCCTGATCCCAGGGTGTGGCCACAAACAGGGAAGGGGAAGACTCGTGGCGTCTCTAGCCACTGACACCTTTGACAGGCATCTGGGTTGCTGGGTAGGAGGGAAGTATACCCAACATCATGGCCATTTCACCCACCAATTTCTAGAATCATCTAAACCATGGTATGATGGGGGTGGTGGTCTTTATCTTCCAATTCTTTGGATGTCAGCTAAACTCCCCAGGCTTTCTGTCACTATGTCCTCCTCTCCCCCTAAAATGGCCTATCTCCTTCACCTTCGTCTGCTCACTGGTCTAAACTGCTTCTCCCCTGACTCAGCCTTTCACTTGTAAACTTGGTGCCAAGTCCTTTCAGACCCCAGCTGTGGTTAACACCCTGCCACATCCTCAGTCTCCTCATTGCACTCTTCCCACTCCTGGCTGCTGCTTCCCTAAGACATTCTTAAAGTGAGGGTGCCTTTTCCTCTTGTATTTGTGAGAGGAGCAGGAGATGGGTCACTGTCCACTCTCTCCACTGCTTTTTACAAACTTAGCTCTGCTCTTTTGAAGCTCATACCTTTTTTTTTTTTTTTGTGGTGGTGGTGGTGGTGGTTCATTCAGCAAGTATTTGAGGGCCTTGCCTCATTGGGTACATGTCCGTGAGTAGATTTTATGTTATGTAATAAATGCTACAGAAGGAAAAAAAGAAAAAGTCATGCAGGGAGGGCTGGTTCACTGGCTGTTGGGATTCACATGGGCCTCAATGAGAACTTGAGTGGTGAGTAGAAATTTTGAGGGTAGTAAGTACTAGCAGACGTCTGAAGTGGGGGGAACAGCCTGAGCAGAGGCCCAAAGATCCATGTCTGCTGTGTTGGGGATGAGTCCAGAGGCCAGTGTCCCTGGGCCAGGTGAGCACTGAGCAGTGGCTGGCTGAGGGCACTGGAAAGGGGCCAGGATGTAGGGTCTGGAGGCAGCCTGAGAAGTTTGGCCTTGATTCTGTGTGCCTTCTGTCAGGGCCTGAGCAGGAGGAAGGTGTGATTTGCCTTAGGTGTTGAGAAAATCAGATTGTTGAATTGAAAAGCTTTTCCTTGACTTTTCCACTGGATTAGGTTTCTTTTTGGTTAAAAAGATACACACTGAATGCAAACGGGTTCAAGGCAGAGTATCTGCTGACAGAGCTAGTTGAAAAGCCTCAGGTACCTTGGTTTCAGGTATGGCTGGAGCTAGGTGTTCGAGTGACTCAAGGAATCTCTCACTTTTCATCTCTTCGCTGTCTTCTTATGCATTAGCTTTATTCTCAAGCAGTTCAGGGCTGTGTTCTGCAAACAAGCTTCATGACAAAAGCCGAGAGAGTGCCTCTGTCCCGAGAGTTTCAGCAAAAGCTCTTGGCTGGTGTCCTGTGACCTAAAGTGGGTCAGGTGTGGAAACCTATCTTTGTGACTCTGATTGCCCAGACGTGGGCCAGGCGCTTACCTTTGGCACAAGGGGAGGGACGTGTGACTGCATTTATTTGAACTGTGAACTATATAATGAATATATGAAACATATTTGTGTAAAGAATAAAATGTACCTATACAATGTGAAGGGCAATGAAGTGAGCATCCATGTTCCTGGCCCCCAGGTTAAGTCATGGGATATTACTGGTATCTCAGATGCCCCTCTGGACCTGGGGAGGGAGGTGGTGTCTTCCAGAGCAAAATCAGAAGCTGATACAGAAGGAGGAATGACAAGTGAAAACAAGTTCCCATGACAGGCCTTCCGCTACATTTTCCCTTTCTGTCACTTCTAACTTCCCAGAGCTCCTACTCAGTAAAATCTCTAGACCCCAAAAGA